TGATGCTGGTAGTTAAAAGCTCTGCTTTTGTTTGTTTGAAATTTTCCATAATAAAATGCAAAAACCAAAAGAAAGGGTGGAAGACAGATTAGATTAGGGAGTCAAGGAAAGGCTCTTTTGAGGAAGAAACATTTCAGCCAAGACCCTCGTGATACATAAGAGTTGGCCAGGCTACAAGTGGTGGATGCTGGTTGGGGAAAAAGCTTTTTCAGCAGTGGGAGCAGTGTGTACAAAGGCAAAATGTCTTAAGGAAGGAACATGTTGGTGCCGTGAGGAAATGAAAGAAGGCTGGTACCATACAATGTGAGAGACTGGAGAAGTAAGCATGAGCTAGACGTTTGAGACCTTGGAGACCATGTTAAGGATTTTGTTCTTTAATCCAGCAGTCATAGAAGGAAGCCTTCCACAGAAGGGTTTTAAGGAGAGGAGTGACAAAGTGGCTTTTGCTTCTTTAAGATCTTAAGTTGCCTGTTTTGCGGAGAATAGTTTTGGTTTGGGCTTGGGAGGGAAAAGAATGTACAAGTAAAAGTGGAGAGACATTAGGAGGTTATTGCACTGGTCCAAAAGATTCTGGTGGCTTTAGACAAATAGTGATATAGATGGAGAAAAGAGATGCGATTTGACAGATGTTTGGGTCTTGGCGATGTGGGGATTTGAGGTTTCAAAGATGATGCTAAATTTCTGTCTGATGCAACTGATTGGATGGACGGGTAATTGACTAAGATAGAGAAGAATGGAGGGAGAGATTTTGTGACAAGAGATTAAGAGATCAGTTTGGAGGCCGGCCCGGTGGCGCACTGCTACAGTGCGCCGCTTGGGAGCACGGCGGCGCTCCCGCTGAGGGTTCGGATCCCACATACAGACCGGTTCCCGCTCACTGGCTGAGCGAGGTGCGGGCGCAACACCGAGTGTTGTGCAGCGGTACGGGTGCGACACTGAGGGTTGCGATCCGTTGCCGGACACAAAAAAAGACAAAAAGGAAAAAAAATAAAAATTAAAAAATTAAAAAAAAAAGAGATCAGTTTGGAATATGATGTTCAGAAAATTCACTCCAATTTTCATTTTTATAAAAATTTAAAAAAAAAGAGATCAGTTTGGAATATGATGTTCAGAAAATTCACTCCAATTTTCATTTACACCAAGGTCAAGGGTTCAGATTG